CTGCTGAAGTACGCGGAGGAAGGGGAAGGGCCTGTCAGCCACCTGGCTGTCACTGCTCTCCAGAGATATGACGTCTCTTTCATAACCGATGAGGTAAGAGGCCCAAGGTATCTCCAACATTAACAGGATGTGAGGATGAGTCAAGTGTAGACTCTAAAGTGACTATTTTTTTCCAGTTTCTCATGCTTAGAAACAACTCCTTTTTTTAAAAAAAAAAAAAAAAAAGAGAATTATTTATTTAATTTGATTTACTTATTATTACTATATTTTAATTTGACCAGTGAGAGAAAGAAAATGAGAAAGCAAGCTGCAGTCTACCATGTAAGATCTAATGCCTTAACTACCGTGCCACCTGCTGGCCCCTAGAAATAACTCTTAAACTGCACTTAAGGTTATTCTAAAGCAGCCTCACATTTTGAATAGATAGTGTCCAATATCTTGAAGCATAAATAGTGAGACTTGTTTTCTTATTTTAAGAAACATTTTTTTTTTAATTTGGAGAGGTTTTTGATATAGGGTGTGTGCACTCGCCAGAGAGACAGAAAGCAAGAAATCACCCCCCAGGGGGGATGGCCATGCCGCAACCCCTTCTCTTCCATTGTGCTCTTGAGATTTTAGGCACGTACACACATGTACCTGGCGTGAGTTTAAGCCACCAGGTCTGGGACTCAAACTGTCGACTACATGGGAGTCCAGTGACATCACCATTACACCAACTGCTGGTCCCTAAAATTCTGTCTCTCTCTGTCTTTCTGGTGAGCGCACAACTCCCTATAGCAAAAAATAAAAACAAAAATATCTCTCCAAAAAAAAGAAACATTTTTTTAAAAAATATGTTTTATTTTACATAATTTGATGTTAAAGTTTTCAACACGAACTCTCCTGGCTTCAGCATGACCTTGTTTATTCCTATAACCACATTTTTAGGAAACTATCTACCTTAAACTTTGTCAGGGTAGAGAATGCTTATACGCCTCAAGATCAACTATCAGGCCAACCCATGGCATGGTGGTCAAAGTGGCTAGTTCCCACACAGCTGACTATACGATTTGAGTCCCAGACTTGGCACCTGAAGAAACATGCCAGGGTCACCTGTGTGTGCACCCAAAATCCTGAAAGGAGAGACAAATTGAAAAGGGATTGTGGTGTGACCATTCCCCATGGGGAGTGTTTTCTTGTTTCCCTCCCACTTCTTTCTGTGTTTCTCTGTCTCTCTGTCTGTCACTCTTCAGTGAGCACTTTTGCCCCCTGATAAAATAAGGAAGGAAGGAAGGAAGGAAGGAAGGAAGGAAGGAAGGAACGAACGAACGAACGAACGAACTGTCTACTGAGAGTGATAGCTTCCAGTTTGCAGCTAAGCATGTTCTCTCATTTGGTCAAAGTTGGTTGCCTGCAAAGTCTCATGGTTAGGGGGACAGGCTTTGGAGAAAGACAAACCTCTGTGTGAATTCTGGCTCTGTCTCTTTCTAGTTGTTTGCTTTTGGGCAAGTTACCTAAATCCTACATACCTGAGAGCAGGGCTGAGATCTGAGGGAGATGGGAAAAGGCAGAGGGAAGTCAAGTTGAAAGAAATATTTATAAATGTCTATAAAATCCAACCCATTGCATGTTTTCCGACAGTGCCAGTAACCCACGAAGTCTCTTGTCACAAAAGGTCATTATTTCAGCATCTGCTCTTTGATGTCAATGTTTTGTTTAGGAAAAAAAGAAAGACCCTATTGTAACCTATGGGCAGTGGGTGATGCCAACTGTAAAGTAGACTCATCAGATGTAAGCACACACCCTCTGCTGCAGGACGATGAGGAAGGAGAGACCACTCGTAGGGGCAGGAGGTTTAGGGAGCCCGTGTTCTCCTCTCATTTTTGTTTGTTTTTTTTTTCTTATTTTTTCCTCTTGGTTTTGCTGTGAACTTAAAACTGTTCTAAAAAATAGTCTATTTATTTTTAAAGGAGAAGGGAATATTCTGAAGGGGGTTCATGTTAGGAAATACCAGTTCATATAGGCATCTTTACCCAGTGCCCCAGTGCTACCTGGCAGTAGAAGCCTCAAAATTCTGTTTTAGTTCAGAAACACCAGGCTATGCTTCAATAACAAGTGAGCCTCAAAATCTCAGCAGTCTATCAGAAGTTTAATTCTCATGTTATGCCTCATCTGGGTGAGGGACTATACGGCCTCAAATTCACGAGAGCCGTAGAGGAAAGAAATGGGGAAGGCCCCACGAGTCTTAGCTGGCTCAGCCTAGATGTGACCCATATTGATTCTGTTCATAGTTCATAGCCACAACTGGTCACTTTGTCCCAACCTAGGAAAAGAACCTAGGAAGCACAGTAATAAGTGTATTTTTATGTACACTCGTGGCCACAAATCAGCTTTTAAAATCTAGACATGCACTGAGTCTGAATACCTTCTGAACAGGTGAAGAAGACTTTGAACAGGATCTACCACCAGAACCGGAAAGTCCACGAAAAGACCGTGCGTACTGCTGCAGCTTCTGTCATTTTAAATAACAACCCATCTTACATGGAAGTCAAAAACATCCTGCTTTCTATTGGAGAGCTTCCAAAAGAAATGAATAAATACATGCTCTCCATTATTCAAGACATCCTGCGCTTTAAAATGCCCGCCAGGTATGGTACATGGCGCGTCTTCCTCTTACTGGCACTCACTTGTAGACTGGTGTGGTGCACGTGTGATGGCTGCCGATGATGCGGCCACCATGCTGGTGCTGTCGCACAAACCCAGGCAGTGCCATTTTGCACAGAGAGCTACTTCATGGGCTAGAAAACACAACTTCACTTTGGCACTATTATTCGGACCTTTGGGTATGATTTTTTATTTTTATTTTTTTTAGGTTTTTGCCACAAGGCATGTATGCTTGCTGGAGATAGAGATGGAGAGACAGAGAGAGAGTGAGAGACACCCCCCCTCCATGGGAATGGCCACACTGCAATCCTTTTTTTTCCATTCTCCTTTCAAGATTTCAGGCATACGCACACTCATACCCAGCATAATTTTCAAGTCACCAGGTCTGGGACTCAAAGTGCCATCAGCCATGTGGGAATCTAGCTCTTTAACCACTATGCCTCCTGCTGGCCCCTGGGTATGATTGTTACTCTGGGTATCCTGTTCAGTCTATAAATATATCATAACTTTGGTAATATTTAAAAATCTAACTGTGTTTTCAACAGGACTATTTTTAAAAATAGTCCAACAAAATGATGTAAGTTCTCACCAGGTGGTCTTTCATCTTGAAAGTTTCCCAAATGCAGAGCTCTCTGAAGCCTCCATCACAGATCAGGTGAATTTGCCATCTCAGCTCTGAACCTCGGGCACAGCCCGCGTTTCAGGACTATCCAGGTCCAAAGGGTGCGGTGAGCAGACTTCACAGCTCTCGCTTATCCTTGCTGGGTTCGCTTCCCTCCAGCTCTCAAGTCTGCCAGCTTCACAAAGGACTGAAGCTGAGGTCCCCCAAACCTCCTCCTCAGTGGATTTAAGGGGCCACAGAAGGAATTTCAATTTCCTCCGAGTTATATTACAAGACCCTCCCCAAGGAAGATCAAATCTGAGCACTCCCTATAAAAAGTGAGAACAGAGATTGGAGAGGGTAGAAAGTAGAGAGAAAGAAAACGGGGCCGACCGTGGCACAGTGGTGAACTGTGACACTGTGACACTGACCCGCAGTCAGTCTCTGTGAGCTTCAGGTTCGTGTCCTGAGATCTCCCCAAGCATGCTGGAAATGCACGTGTCCACCCTCCCAGGCCAGCTGAGGCTGCTGGTGGATCGTCATATCAAGACCGTATCGGTGCTCGCCCTGCTCTGTTTGCCTCTGTCTGCCTCTCCTGTTCATGGAAGAAATCAACTTAAAAAAAGAGAATGAATAAAAGTGCAGCAAAAGGTTGAAAAGGAAACAAGGACTAGGACTAAAGGAACAAGAAACAGGGAGAGTGAGGAGACAAGAGGAAAGAAAGCACAAGTAGGAACGGGGAGGGACGGGGAGGGGCCAGAAAAGCGAGGTCTCCCGGCAGCCCTGTGCTTTTTAGCCAGCGGATCTGGCTTCTCTTTCTTTCTCTGGCTTTATGAGACTTAGTGGAGAAGACCGTGGGTGTGTTTGCTGCCTGTATCTGTGAACCTAATGATTCAGGGAACAGGAAAGAGGAGGCCATGGGGAGAGAGCAGCCTGGGGACTCTGAGGAGGCTGTCACAGACACCCAGATCGGGTTCTCAGAACCGAAAACATTCGGGTAGGGAAGGACGTTGTCAGAGTCCTTAGTGTCTCTGTGTCAGGGTCAAGCCTGCTGGCGGGTGGTTCCCAGACTCTGCTCGCCCCTCTCCAGTGTCAGGAAGCTCTCTGCCTCGAAGGGAACCCGTGCTAGTGGGCAGTGACTCTCACACCCCTATGTCTTCATATAAACGGAAATCTCCCTTTTGATGGTGGTTCTGTCCCTGGAGCAAAGCAGGACACATCTAATCATTTACCCGCACAGATACCATTTGAGCATTGAGGACAGCCCCCGGGAAGTGCCTCACCATTTCTTCTCTAGGCTAAAACCTTATAACCTGGTGATAACCCTCTTTTCAGTAATTTTCTGTCTGACTGATGTCCAGATTTCTTCAGTTGATTGTTTTGGTGTTTTGCTGTGTTAACAGAATTTTACTATTATTATTGATGTGAGCAGTGTTAGGTAATCAGAAGTGGAATGATCTCTGCACAGACAAGCCAGAGGCCGGGAGTAAGGATTAGGCCTTCATTTAGGCGGGACAGTGGCTCCTGTCTGGGTTCTACTGCTCCGTCTCTGTAATAGAAAACTGCACCGATACAGGGAAAATCTGCCAATTTACTGCTAGCCAATGATCACAGTGACACATTTAAGGAAGTACTGTAGGACCTCCCCAGTTTGGCACAGCTTTCTGTAAATACGTATCGTCTGCAACGTTAGAGCCCAGATGATTCAAAGAACATGTTTTCCACATCCGTGGAGTGTCCACCAGTCAGCTTAAGCCACCTTATAGCTGGGCATCCTCGCCTTGCTGTCATTTTCATACCAAACTAAATTTCAAATATCCGAGCAATGAAGGGGAAAACCCTCATCCAGATGCCGAGGCTCCAGCTGGCACCCCCCCGTCCTGGAGAAGCATGAGGAACATTTGGCTCCTCCTTTTTTCCATTGAGCACTTGGGTTTTTTCCAAATCTGGCTCATGATACCACCACTACAATGAATGTGCAGCCTTTTCTTTTTACCTGTTGCAGCAAAATGGTCCGTCGGGTTCTGAAGGAAATGGTCGCTCACAATTACGACAGGTTCTCCAAGAGTGGGTCATCTTCTGCCTATACCGGCTACATTGACCGTATGTACCCCGGGAAGGCCCTGTCCCCCTCCACCCTCCCCAACTTGGTGTGTCAGGCTGGCCTTGAACCACAGTGAACTTCTTTGCCTATAGGCAGCCCCCATGCGGCATCGACTTACAGCCTCGACATCCTGTACTCGGGGTCTGGCATCCTCAGGAGAAGTAACCTGAACATCTTCCAGTACATCGGGAAGGCTGGTCTGCACGGGAGCCAGGTAACCCCTTTCCCACGGATTTTGCTTACCAAGTAAGAAAGAGGTTAGTCTGAGGTCAAGTCGGATCTGTACCCGTGGCAGTGCTAGCGAATGTACAAGTCAACAGTGGCTTCTGCCACAGTCAGCCCATGAGTCTGTCGTCTGCCAAAGGCTGGATGGTTCGAGGGAACCAGCAGTTAGCGTAATGGCTATGTCGCTGGACTCCCACGTAGTCGACCGCGGTTCGTGTCCCGGACCCGGTGGCTTAAAACTCACGCCGGGCGCGTGTGCGTGCGTGCCCAAGATCCCGAGAGGAGAATGGAGGAGAAGGGATTGCGGCATGACCATCCCCCCTGGGGGGTGATTTCTCGCTTTCTGTCTCTATGTCTCTCTCTGTCTGTCTGGCGAGTGCACGCGCCCTACAGTGAAAATCTCTCAAAAAAAAAAAAAAAAAAAGGCTGGATGGTTCGAGGTCTCAGAGAAAATTGTAAATATGAACTTGAAGCCTAAGTAATTTTGATTAACTGGACTTGCCAAATATCCATTTGTCTTTTCAAATATACACGTGCACAGAAGATCAAAATGGTGCCAGTGTTTCTCACATAAACTGTTTAATATTTTATTTTTATTTACAGTTATATTCTTTAAACCCCAAAAGTATTTAATTCTAAAATATATTTTCCTTTTCTATATGTTTCAATGATGAAACTGATCCCTATAATAAAAGCTTCATAATAGAATATGGCTCTCTACAGAGCTGTTCTATATTTTTCCAAAATTACTGGGAAATAAAAGAGCAAAGTGTAAGCATTGGCAATTAGCTGACTTCCATTTCCTTAGTTTTATCTAAAATTGGGTGAAGATCTATAAAGCCTTCCAAATTATGAAGTATACCATCTTTTCAGAATTTATATTTATCAAATTATCACCTTCTAAATAAAGTCATCTAAGTTTTAAACATGATCCAGTAGTTTGAAAATCTGAGTTCCTGTCAATATTATTACACCCTTTGATAGTACTACAGTCAGAATACTGTGCCCTTCTGTCCTGAGGAATTACCATCCACTTTCTGATATGTGTTCTAAAATACCAAACAGCCAGTAGTTAAGGACTAGCTATGGAGGGCAGAAAATACATACGATTTCTACACATGGTAGAGATCCGGGGGTGTGAGCCCCTCAGAGTATTCACCACCATTTTTTGTTTTGTTTTGTTTTGTTTTGACTAGGGAGAAATGTTTGTCATGGAAAGGTATGAATCATGGCCTAGAGAGTTTTGTGACCTCTCATGGTGGCAGCCTGACAACTGTGCTGATCCTCCTTCATCTCCTTTTAGAGGCTTTGTAAGATAGTGGGCCATTATCTACGGCAGTCCTAGAGAGACTGAGAGTCTGTAGGATGACATCATATAATGGAAAGCTCAGGGTCTTTGCAGTCAGACAGAAGAGGTCTGAATCCTGCCTCTGCCATGTACAGGCCAGATGAACTTAGCCATTCTCACTTCATCTACAAAATGGATAAAATCATATGTATCTTCAAGGATGGTTGTGAAGATTAAATGGAGAACACTAACTCACCTTATATTCAGGCATAGAAGTTGTTACAGATTTGATTGCTTTTGTTTTTTACCTATCTGCTCCAGACGTTTGAGTTTCTGAACCCTAGCAAAGTTCTAGCTGTAGCTAAGAAGCTTTGCCCTCATTTACAGGTGACCAGTGAGGAGCTTATGTAGTGAATGATGCACTATTGATCATTCCCTAGGTGGTCATTGAAGCTCAAGGACTGGAGACCTTAATTGCAGCCACTCCTGATGAGGGGGAGGAGAACCTTGACTCCTATGCAGGCATGTCTGCCATCCTCTTTGATGTTCAGCTCAGACCTGTCACTTTTTTCAACGGATACAGTGATTTGATGTCTAAGATGCTATCAGCATCTGGCGACCCTGTCAGTGTGGTGAAAGGACTTATTCTGCTAACGGATCATTCTCAGGTAATTTACTCAGTCTGCAAGTGTTTATTGAGTCTCTAATCACATCAAGCACCTTTTAAAATGTGCTCCATGCTTGGAGAATACAAGATAAAGTTCTGCTGACTCTGGAGCTCACATTCTAAGGTACTTGGCCCTCTTAGTATTCTTCCCTTTTTTCCTTGGCGACAGACAAGTAGCATTTCCTTTGCAATTATTAGCTGATTAAGAGGTCACCTTACTTTGAGATAATACACATGTTAAAATAAATAAGAAATTTTGGAGAAAACAACCTAGGATGTACCAGAGCAGAGATGGCTTAGTCTCTTTTCCCCCTGACTTTCTGAACACAAGGCCGTAGATAATTATCCAGAAGGTAGGAGCTGACCTACCTGGCTTCTTAAGTGGTGACATTCACAATGACAATGATGATGAAGACCCATCTATGGCAGCATTCTGTCTTTGCCAATTAGCAGAGGCACAAACAACCATCAACACCAGTCACATGTTTTATGGAGACTCTTTGTCCAAAGTCCTCACATTCTCAGAATCTCAGAAAGGCTCATTCATTCATAGAGAACAGGAGTACTTTCATTCACGTGGACTACATTCTTCTGTTACTGTGGAGTGAAATCGGCTAGCAGTAACGTATGAACAAATGAGTAGATTCTGTTCCAATACATTTTATTTGTAAAAACAGCCAGTGGACCAAACTTGCCGGCTAGCCATAATTTGCCAATCCCTGCTGTAGATTATTTTATATAGTTTTTCTATTCATTAAGCTCTGACATCAAAGGCAAGGCATATTCTGTGAGAAAGATTGTCCCCTGGCTATTAAACATAACCCAGTGTATGTGTTTCAGCTTGGAGCACTTGGCAGATCTGACGGTATTATACAAATGAGCTGTTTGAGGTCGCTGGCTCTGCAGAGCACTCCAGCAATGCCATCCCAACTTTGGAGGCACATACCACTCTAGGTCAAGTGCTGACATTGAAGGAAATGCTGGCGGTGGGTGGCCTGTCACAACCACCAGGGCAGATGGAATTACTCTGAGCTTGCTCTCTCTCTTTAGCTAATTGGATTACTCTTTAGTGGAAGATGTCTGACAAAGTCAGTTTAATAAGGGGATCCTCTTTAGCCAATAAGGAACATATTTTCCTAAATGAAAGCAATGGGATGAGTTGTCAAAATGTCAGTATCTGAGCTATAAGAAATGCCTTTCAGACATAAGGTAATTGATTAAAGGGTAACATGATGCGAAGTTCTAGTTCATAGGCAGGAATTTAAATAATTATATTCCATGGGCCAAATAGGGACATAAGCCTATGTGCTATCTTTCTTGCAATATCTCTTAGAACAGATTTCCTTGCACACTAGAAGACGAAGGATTTGAGTTTGTGATAGTCACATATAGTAGTAGAAGTCTCTACCCTAGACAGAGCCTGTATATTTATTCTGGCTCCACATACACCCTCTGAGCCTGATTTTTTCTTTCAGTCTTCAGATACAATGACTACCATGGAAGACTGGTATAAATTAAACGAGTTAGCAGAGGTACAGCTTTGGGCATAGAATAAAATACATTTTACAAATAAAATGTATTGGAACAGAATAAAAGTTTTTAGTTCCACATACTTTATATCCCTCAAAAATGAGAACCACTGCACTATGTGATTTAGTCCTTTTCATGAAGGCAAGATGGTTTGTCCTTCTATGTGGGTCAGTGGTCTGTTCTTAAACAGAGGTCCAAGAAAATTCCTCTGTGACTGCACAAAAGTTGTTCCAATTAGTCCTTTTGTATGAAACTAATGGACTCTTCTCCAAACCCATCTTGAAATGGAAATGCTCTCACCCTACAAAAGGGGCACTAACCAATCGTTATTAAATGTTCTTTTCCACAGCACTGGGTGCGTTTTTAGATCCACCTGGTGTTTGGTCAGTGAGAAGGCCCAGGTTCATATCACAGGCTCTGCTGGACTGAGTGAAGTAGCAAGACTGTGATTTTCAAGTTGAAAAGAAAAGATAAAATGCAAAGAAAGGAATATTTCTGAGGCAAGGCACATAATAGGGTTCATTTGGGAATAATCATAAGTTTGTGCACTTGCAGAATTCTGATATCTTGGTCCTCTAGTTCAAAGACACAGGTTAAAATTTAGGTGTGACTAATTCTCTCTCCCAACCCTTCTAGCAGCAAAAGGAGAGAAACTCTGTTCTGAAAACCTGAACCCCAAACTCCTACTGTGAATTGTATATTCCCACTTACAGGAGAGGAAGGAAGCTAGCACAGAGTTAATACACACAATGGGCAAGTGCATGAGCACACAGCTACAAAAGTGTACTCCATAGAAATAGGAAGAAGTGACAATATCACCAAATGACTAAAAATCAAAGCAGAACCTCAAGAAATAAGAGAAAATTAAGAAACACCTCCCCCTTCATCAACAATGAATAAAACACAAGAGATTCTAGAAATGTCAGAAAAAGAATTCAGAATATTTATCATAACAAAAGTCAATGAGATACAAGAGAAAACAACCAATTACAGGAGATTAGAAAATCCTTAACTTGAAGGAGGAACTCCATAACGAGATAGACACTCTGGAAAAGAATCAAACAGAAATTCTAGAGATAGAGAATATGATGCAGGAAATCAAAACCTCTCCTGAAAGTATCAACAGCAGATTAGACCACGCAGAAGAAATTATCTCTGACCTTGAAGAAAAAAATATCCAGTTTTGTTCAAGTAACCAAAAAGAATAGAAGAACAACTATTAAAAACCAAGACAACATACAGAAAATGCTAGACACTGTTAAGCCTCCAAATAGGTATTCTAGAAGGCAAAGAGACAGGTAAAGGCATAGAAAAATCTTTCATGCTATATTAGTTGAAAACTTTCCATATTAGAGAGGCATGGGGAAATCTAAATCCAGGAAATACAAAGGACACCAAATAGATATAAGAAGATTCTCTTCAAGACATATGAGTCAAATTGGTAAAAATCAAAGACAAAGACCACATTCTAAAAATGGCAATAGAGAAATACCAAGTTACTTACAAAGGTTACCTCATTAGACTAACAACAGACCTCTCAACTAAAACAGTGCAGGTAAGGAAGAATGGGAGGACATATTTAAAACTCTGAAAGAAAAACAATTTTGGTCAAGAGTACTATATCTGGCAAGATTATTCTTTAAATGGGAAGGAGAAATCAAATCATTCTAAGATAAACAAATGCTGAAAGAAACCACCAAATCTAAGCCAGTTCTTCGGGAAATACTTAAGGGAATACTACACCAGAAAAATTAAAGGGAGATTAAACAGAAGTAGAAGAACACAAAACAACTAGAAAAAGAGAATAAGTTCATACATATTAATAACATTGAATATCAGGACTGAATTTCCCAACTGAAAGACTAAAAATGCAGATTTAACTGTTTTACCCACAAGCAGGTGTAAGTACAAATTCACCAATTATTTGATAGACAGCTGCCTCCAGAGGCAATTTATATATGTATTATAAAATTTCTCATTGTATAAAATTAGATAACAGAGGAAAAGTCCAAAATGTTTAAAAAAAAAGGAGTCAGTGTTATGTATACTGATATACAAAGATAATCAAACTATGTAACAAAAGTTTATGTTAAATGAAAAGAGCAAATTGGAGAATATTATGTAGAGTGTAATCTGGTTTTTATAATATTTTATTTAAAAAAATATATATACACACAAATAGTATTAATAAATAAATATATTTTATGAATACTAAATATATTCTATAAACCATATGTACCAAACTGTCAATAATGGTAATGTCTAGGAGGTGGAATTATAGAGTACATTAATTATATATATTTTTTTAAAGATTTTTTATCTAAGAAAAAAAAATTAGGTGTACTATTGTGGTTTTTCTCAGGATAATTTGTGTTTATCCATATTCATTATGATTCATGAGATAACTTAATCCTGCAGCAACCACCTTTTGTCCTAGACCAAATGTAGCCCTGAGTATCCTTATGACCATCTCCTCATGTGTCCTGAGCACAGCACTGAGAATCTCATGCTTTGCCCAAGAGTGTCCTTCAGATGGAAAGTAGATTCAAGCCAGTTTTAGTATTCTTGGTCATAAACCAAGTCCTTTGAAATTTCCTGACACTTTTCTTTTGGTAAGTGAAGAAGGATTTAGGAAGAGCAATGCAGTCCTTCGTAGAAAGTGAAGTTGTGCCATTTATAGTTAGTGCATGCATTATTTGTTTGATCCAAGCGGGTGGTTACATAAAGATGCAAGTTGTGTCACCAGTTGCCAGGAACTTAATATCTATGAAGGAATATCAAAGTTAAGTATACTGAACCTTTTCTCCAGAGTTATCACTTCTAATACCTCCCTAAGTAATGTGACTCCAGTCTAACTGAAAATGTTTTCAGCCAACATCACTCCAACTCATGTACGTTTAAAATGCAAGACTTAAAGGATAAATGCAGGCAGTTAAGCAAAAAACAATGGAATTCAGACAACCACAAAATTGCTTGGAATAGACCGTTTATAAGTGATTAATCTTCATTGAGTTCATGCTGAATTTGACTGTTAATTTAGTGTTTAACATTTCATATGTTAAATAGCAGGATGTGATAACTTAGTTAAACTGCCTTCCTTTCCTAGCTGGATAGAGGCAATTCCTGGAACTTGTATATTGCACTAGGAGTTCTATCCAGCCTTTAGTTTGCTAGCAGTATGTGGTCATTATATATGGCACAGCATATACCTAGAGAAGTGCCAAAGGACCTTAAGAGGTCACATGGTAGCCTAACTCTGGTTCCTGCCTCACAAAGAAAGAGACACAGTGGATTATGACAGAGACACCTTCATTTCCTAGTCTAGTGGTTCTCAAATGTAGAATCACATGAGGGCTCATTGAAACATAGATTGCTGGGCCTATCCTCAGAGTTTCTATTAGGTCATCAGAAAAGTCATGATGTATGTTTCTATGCAAAAATGCATCAAGACTTTTCCAATGACCCAATAATTTATCAGGTAAGGATGAGACCTAAGGATGAGCACAGGACCAGACTTTGAGGACCATTGCCTCTCAGAAAATGAGGCAATGATCCAAGGAAAATGACTTTCTTAATTGTCATTTTACTTCTCTAGTATTTTAATTGACTAAATAATTTAATATAACAGCAGTTTCTTTCTTTCTTTTTTGAGAGGTTTTTGCTATAGGGTGTGTGCGCTCACCAGACAGAGAGAGACAGAGAGATGGAAAGCAAGAAATCACCCCCCAGGGGGGGATGGCCACGCCACAATCCCTTCTCTTCCATTCTCCTCTCGGGATCTTGGGCACGCACGCACACACGCCTGGAGTGAGTTTTAAGCACCGGGGCCAGGACTTGAACTGCAGTTGACTACATGGGAGTCCAGCAACATAGCCATTATGCTAACTGCTGGTCCCAAGCAGTTTCTTTCTTTTGATCAAGATCAGAATGACATGTTTCCAAACCTAGAGAAAGACTCCAACATCAACAGAACTTAAATTGCCTTATCTACGGCAAAAGGTCAAATACGCTTTTGGAAGGACTGCTAACAAATTGTAGTTGTTATTATTATTAGTATTACTCTTACTGCTTTATTTTTCTTCTAGGAGCTTCAGTTGCAATCTGGACTGAAGGCCAATATGGAGGCCCAGGGTGGTCTAGCTATTGATATTTCAGGTGCAATGGAGTTTAGTCTGTGGTATCGTGAGTCTAAAACCCGAGTGAAAAATCGGTAAGCATAATATGTATAATCCTCTATGCAAAGAACTGAGAGCTATGTTTTGGAAATAGCTTAACCTTCTGACTTTTCAAAATGTATGCTATTTGGAATCATTCGGTCATAGAGTTGGAAGTGACCATATGAAGTCAGTCTGTCCATAGCTTTTTATGAACAGATCAGTGCTTAATATGAGGAGTCTTTAGGAATTTCTCAGAAAATTCATATTAGGAGAAAACTCTGCATGAATTTTTAAAATTTGGGGCATCAAAATATACTTTTTTTAAAGATAGATTTTTGCTATAGGGCATGTGTGCTCACCAGAAAGAGACAGAGAGACAGGAAGTGAAAAATCACCCCCCCCGCCCCCGCAGGGGATGGCTATGCTACATTCCTTTCTCCTCCATTCTCTTCTTGGAATCTTGAGACACGCACATGTGCCTGGAATAACTTTAAGCTGGTGGATCTGGGGCTCGAACCTCAGTTAACTACGTGGGAGTCCAGAGATAAAACCATTATGCTATCTGCTGGTTCCAACAGTTGAACTTGATTTTTTTCTATGAACTTTTAAAAATCTTCTTGTACAGCTCAACCAAGAATGTACCTTCTTTTAAAGATATTCATATGGGGGGTGGGAGATTCATGAGAAAAATTTTAATGGACACAAGAGTGCTTGTAAATAAGGAAGAGAGGCTGTGGGACAGTGTACAACAGCAGAGTAAAAAATATGGACAATTATTATGTATTTCAATTAAAAAAACCAGAATTTTTATCAGATATATACAACATAATATAATGTTCAATGTAGAGTAAGATGAATTGTGTATATCCTTGATTTGATTATTATATACCAAATGCATGCTTTAAAAAATACTGAACCCCATAAAGGTGTATATAGATTATAAGTAAATCAGACATACTAATTAAAAAAAAAAACAGTAAAACATCCACAGTGCCCTGTGGATGAGGGGGTTCATCCTATCTTCGTATTCCACTTTCGTAGTTGACAGTGCTACCAGGAAATTTTGCTTTGAGGAAAACTTCTTAGCACATTCATTTTGTTGGGGCTTAAAACCTTTTTCTCTTTTGCTGTCTTCAGTGGATAAAAATAGAAAGTTAATCACTCCTGTGCAAAAATCAGTCTTAAACATTAGGAACCCTAAGTGTTTTCCACTGGCATTCCCTTCTCTGAGCTCCTTTATTTTTTCTAATCTACCTGTGAGATCCAGTACAAATGCTTTATCTTCAATGTAATCTAATGTCTCTAACCAGTCTGATGATCAAAATAATTATTCTATTTGTTATAGAATTGAAGAAAAGTATATAGGAACAATCTATTTTTACTTTTTGGATATGTACAAACACGGTGGGACAGAACTGAGATAAGAGTGGATAAAATTTAATTTTTGATCCATTTTGAACTATGGATAAAGGAATCAAAAACAGTCAAAGGTGGCATATTTAATCTGAGGGGTGACATGAAGTGTTTCTAAAAGGAATCAAAGAGTGAGAAATGGAACTAACTATTAGAGAGTCCAGCAAGCAGGCTAGTTTAGGATTTCTCATTGAATCAGTCATCTTTCTCCTCTGTTTGAAGTATTTTGTAAACAGAAGTTTCTTTGAATTAAGTGGAACTGAATTATTTGCAGAAAAAAATCAACAAGAGCATCATTTTAAAAAGACACCGTATTCCCCAAGAATCTGCTGGTTATCCACATTGTAATCAATCTGTCTTTCATTTTTTCGTTCATTCACTCATTTAATACATACCTCTTAAACCTTTGCAGGGTATAAGATACTACAAGGTACTTTAACAGTTAGAGATTTAAAATGTCACCAATGTTTACATCGTCAACAGTTGGGGTTTAATTTGCACTGTAAAAATTAGTATTCCTGGGCTGGCCCATAGCCTAGTTGTTAAAGGGTCCCACACGGCCAACCAGGCAGTTTAAATGCTGGCCCAAGAGGCTTGAAAAACACACCAGACACGTGTGCATGCCCCAATTTCTGATATGATGGAGAAAACAAGGAGAGGGGGCCTCAGTGTGAGCACGCTCGTTGTGGGGCGATTTCTCCTTCTCCATCTCTGCCTCTCTCTGTTTCTCTCTGGTGAGTGCACATGCCTCTGGCAAAATTTTTTTAAAAATTAGTACTTGTATCAGAAAAGTAGGGATGTTTGACTCTAATTTAACTATGGGATTCATTTCCTACAGTTTGATCATCTAGGGTATAATTCAATTAGAGTGGAAGTAAATCTTCTGCTGGAATTGTTCACCGTCTTTGCTGTCATCTAAGACACATTCCCCAGTCAGTCCAATCTGTGTCTCGGGTCTGCTAGACGATTATTGAATAACTCACGCTGTGTATTCCTCCTGGGCGCCTGCTCTACAGGCCCCACTGTCACTTCTGCGTAACACAATATTTTCTCAGATATCTTGGCAACAATAGACTTAGGCCATATAGACTCTGTAAAAAGTGAAATGAAATTGAAATAGTTACACAGAGGTCAACAGAAATATAGTTAGCAAGAAGATTCTTATAAACATCAGTCATCTTCCTGCCGTGTTTAGACTTCTCTTTAAGAAAACTCAGGTATTTCTGACCTCCTGAGAGGACTAGTTCCAAGCATGGTTTCCTCTAAGCCATTATAGGCTCGTACAAGCAGTGTACTTCCTGAGAGGCCCTTTGTTCCACATCTAGGGTGGGAGTCAGGAGAAGGCTCAGGGGAAACCTTCACTGTCCAGTCTCCGGAATAACCAGGCCCTTGTTACCAAAAGAACTCTAAGTGCATTTAGGTGGCCTCTCAGTCCCATATGTTTTACCTGCTAGTCAGCAGCATCTGGATACTGAAATTATATTAATGTAGCTAAATGTGACATGAACAGGCTCTTGTTTTGTTTTCTCCTGTCTTTAGGGTGGCAGTAGTATTAACTGGTGACATCACAGTGGACTCTTCTTTTGTGAAAGCTGGCCTGGAAACCAGTGCAGAAACAGAAGCAGGCATGGAGTTCATCTCCACGGTGCAGTTTTCTCAGTACCCGTTCCTGGTCTGCATGCAGATGGACAAGGAAGAAGCTCCGTTCAGGTGCGTGCAGTATCCACGGAAAGTTCGAGGGCCTTCCCCAGTTCACCGGGAATTTGCATTCAGTTTCAGAATTAAAAGAGCAGTAAAAGACTGTCTGTGGCGTGGTGTTAGGGTGACTGGATCCCAATGGCCAATTGCTCAGTTTGAATCCCTGAGTGGGTGGCTTGAAAAGCACACTGGAGATGTGTGCATGCATGCCCAAAATCCCAAGAGGGGAATAGAGGAGAAGGGATCATGGCAGGGCCATCCCCTCTGGGAGATGATTTCTCACTTTCCTTTTCTCTGTCTCTCTTTGGCAAGCATACGTGCCCTATAGCAAAAAATAAAAAAAAAAAAAAAAGACAGCAGTAGCCCAGTAAAAGACAAATTTTCCTAAAGGAGAAAGAATATTTGATAAAGCTAAGAAAAGTTCCTTTCCAGGATACCGAGAAAGTTCACTAACTCGTTTGCTTGGTTATGGAGATAGTGTCGTATTCCAATCCAGAAGTATGTTTCCAGGAAACAAAGGGCCTGCTTTGCCACGGAGCCGCACACAGGGTCAGCAGAGACACCAGGTGCATGCTTACTGCCTCGTGTCTCCAAAGCAGAGTACCTGGCAATTCATTTACTTAGAATTCTTACTTATTCCACACCACAGCAACTTGACATTAAGTTTTAGCTCAAGCTTGAGAATTTGGAAATTTTGAAGTAAAAACAAAGTTTTAGTAGAATTCTTAGTGTTTTAATAACCAAAATCATATTCTCTTCCTAACTTTCCCAACATCTCTGCCATTCTCACGCCTAACTTTCCTTTATGTTGTGTCCTTTGGCTCTTATAGAGTTTTCTGTGACAGTGATGTCACAGAGGGCTGGATGCTCTGCCTCTTGCATTGTAGTTGGAGAGTTCCACTGCCGCCTACTATTTAATCGTAAAAGTAATTTGACACTTCAGATAACAAGCCACATCTTACATCATCTCCTTTGATAAGTAAACCAGAATTGAGTACTTTTTTCCCTTCTTACTACCATTTTGTGATCCATATAAGAAATGCACCAAGGAACCAGCAGATGGCAGAATGATTATGTTGCTGGACTCCCATGTAGTTGACCATGGTTTGAGCCTCAGACCTGGTGGCTTAAAACTCATGCCGGACATTTGTGCGTGCGTGCCCAAAATCCCGAGAGGAGAATGGAGGAGAAGGGATTGCGGCATGGCTACACCCCTGGGGGGTGACTTCTCACTTTCTGTCTCTCAGTCTCTCTCTGTCTCTGGCAAGTACACGCGCCCTATAGCAAAAACCTCCCATAAAAAAAGTGAAATGCACCAAAGATGTAAGTGCACATATGCATAGGGTTATATTTTTGCAAAATAAAAGATTGTGGTTTATAGTTAGACTAGTGCGCTGTCACTGACATACACGAACTTCATCTAGGATGAACCTCTGTAAGTGCATTTTTTTAAAGTCATCTTTCTAGTGGTCAAAATGCAGTGACCATTGACCACACCACAAGGCTAACTGGTCTGGTTCCACATCACACTCAGCCAGAGCTCTAAAATGCATCCCTGTCAGCGTTCTCGGCTTTTATCCGGCTGGACTTTCTACATACCCCAAGGGGGGGTGCTCCCAAGGCAGGGCTTCTGGAATTAGGACTGGGAGGCATAGCAAGGCCTGCAGAGCTCAACAGCAGCTCCAAAGAGCTGAAAGGAATTCGGTCCTTCATTCCAGAGAAATGTGTGGCGGGACTCCCTCCTCCCAGACATTGAAGTGTTCTCTGTTGGTGTCAAAAGAAATGGGAAGAAGAGAATAGTCCACTCATGGAGTGGAGCCGCGTGGTGGGGGTTGGCTCTCCTCTCCTTTCTCCAGTTGCTGGTGACAGGAACCTCTGGCGTACACTCAGGAGCTCGTCTGGGGCTGCTGTGGGGTGACTGTGTGTAACTCTGCCATGGTTGTTCACAGGCAATTCGAGACCAAGTATGAAAGGCTGTCCACGGGCAGAGGTCACGTCTCCCGGAAGAGAAGAGAAAGACTAGTAGCAGGATGTGAATTCCCACTCCACCAAGAGAACTCGGACATGTGCAGGGTGGTGTTCGCCCCTCAGCCAGAGAGCACTGGCAGTGGGTGGTTCTGAAACTGACCGGGATACTTCTCTTGAGTGTGTCTCCCCAAAAGGGATCTGGCATGACATGCCTGAGTACTGCTCTCTGAGAGCACATGTTTACATATTTGCCTGTATTTAAGATGTTTGTAAGAAGTGATGGGAAGCTTCGCGTGATTGAATTTGGGCCCATTAATATACTACCTACGGTGTCACTTTGAGTCATGATGTGACACTTTCAACAGCATTCTTAATGTCCTTATGCCTCCCTCAAATCCCACTTGTACAAGGAGACAAGCTATGCTCTAAGAGAGACTCATCTCTGTTAAAACAGGAGCAGAAAAACAAACCCCCACACACTCAGGGAAACTCAATTTTGTTTCAACAATTTTCAGTCAATGTATACAAAGCCCTTCATAGACCCTTAAGCTCAGCGAGGAACCCAAACACGTTCCTAACTGGGGAAAATAGGCCATGTGTTTTCTTCTTTCTGTGGTAGGGAGGTGGTTATGTGGGAGAGGAAAGTCTCTTTAAATACTTTTGTTAGCCAGCTTCAAGAATTAATGCTTACGTCTTCTGTTAGCATTAGTTTGATAAGAACTAGGGTAGAAGACACAATGAAACACCACCTCTTCTCTCTGTGGACCATGCAGTGAGGTTCTTGGGAGCCATTCAGACCCCTCCCCCTTGCCCTACACAAATACTGGACCTGGCACACAGGGATCAGAGAAAAGCAATTTTAGAGACTCCACTTGATGTTTCTCATACCGTGTCTTTTTTGCGAATTTAGTAGAGTACACGGTCCCTTACAAGCGACATCCTCAGAAAAACCTCTCGGTCTCTGCCTCACCCATTTTGTGGTAGAAGCTCCGGTCTTATTACAATCTGCACATGAACCAAAATGGTGGTCAGATTATTGCATCAATAAACCAACGAATTTGGTTCTCTAAAATATGATCCCCCAAAAGGAATGTCTTCATGTGTATGATGAAAAGAGCCATGTTGAACATTTTCATATAAGTATGTGTAAAACAGGCATGCTTATTGTGATACCCCCCCAAATGACAGGTGCTCGTTGGCCCTTAGACACACATAAAGCCACCCACTATTGTTGTAAATTGAAAATTAAGTGTGTTGAAATAAATATGTGGAAATATTATTGAGTTCCTTTTGTCTTTCATTACTTTGGATAGGATATTTCTTGCTTCCTGCTGTTTTTTGGGCCCAGATACATACATGACAGCCTCTCCAGCAAGATAGTACAGGCCCTTTATTCAGTACTTATAATTAGAGGACTTGCTTTCATGGACATAATCAGAGATGCTTACAGAGATTTATATTGTATTTATTGTAGCATTATTTTAATAGCTCAAAACCACAAAAACTTAATATTTTAAAAGCATTTGATTGGAGCCAGCAGGTGGCATAGTGGTTAAGTTGCTGGAATCCTACATGGTTGACTGAGGTTGTCCTGGACCCAGCAGCTTGAAATACATAAGATGTTATTTTTAATGGCCACTTCCTCTTATCTAATTGTAATTTTGTACTCATTGGTCATGCTATGTATCTGTGTGTGCACGCCATGTTTTAGCTATCCATTTACCTGTTAATGGACACCTGGTTTGATTCACTATCTTGGCTACTGGGAATAATGATGCGAAAAACACAGGAGTACAAGTATCTTTTCAACCTGCTGATCTTTCCTTTGGTTTGACTTTTATTTGTTTAAGCTTCTTTTTCCAAGAATTATTTTATTTAACTATTTATTTATTTATTTATTTTAAATTTGACCAGAGAGGGATACAGTGAGAAAGGGACAAAGGAAGGGAGTGTGAGAAAGCAAGTCGCCAGGTTCTGGACTCGAACTGTGGTAGGCCATGTGCAAGTCTAGTGCCCTTAACCACCATGCTACCTGCTGGCCCCTGACTTTTTGTTTTTCTTCGTTTGATTGTTTGTTTTTTGGATAGAGTGCATGAACAGAGAGAGAGGGAGAGGAAAAAGCACCCTGCCATGAGATGTCACGCTGCAACCCCTTCTCTTCCACTTCTCCCTTCTTTAGAGATTCTGAGCAGATACACACTTCTGGCGTGTTTCTCAAGCTACCAGGTCTGGGACTTGAACAGTGCTATTGACCATATGGGATTTGGCTGCCTTAACCACCAGGCCATGGAACCAGTCCTGGTTTGACTACTTTTAAGCAATCTGTATAACAGTGAATTTGGATTTTTTGGAAGCAAAAGTGCTTTAATGAAGGGATATATTAAAGTAGTTAATATTTCTTGAATGTTTACCATAGGCTGGGATAGACATCTCATTACTATACTTCTCATACCATAAAAATCTATATAATATACCACATGCTATATTAATATATCATACTAACATGTTATCCTTCACTGCTCTACCATGTGTGCTTACATGTGCTGTAATACTCTAATGCAGCATGCTTAAGTTACTTCGACAAAGAGGATGATGTGGGCTTAGAGAAGAAAAGTCACTTACTGCTAACGTTCCGAAATGGGTTTTGAACCCAGGCATTTCTGACTTGGATAACCCTATTTTTACTTACTGTCCCATAGTACTGAAGGCACCTAAGCACCAGGGACAATTGCACTCTAGGGATGATTGCTTGATCATGTTATGTTGGAACTTCAAGGGACAGAAGAAGTTTTGGCTTTGTTAGGTCTTTTACTATTATTTTAAATTTTTTTTTTTTTTGCTATAGGGAGTGTGCATTCACCAGAGAGACAGAAAGTGAGAAATCACCTCCCAGGGGAATGGCCACACTGCAATCCCTTCTCCCCCATTCTCCTCTTGGGATTTTGGGTACACATTCACACGCGTCCAGCATGAGTTTTAAGTCGACGGGTCCAGGACTCAAACTGCTGTCGACTACATGGGAGTCCAGTGACTTAACCATTATGCCGTCTGCTGGTCCCATACTTTGTTATGTCTTGGGGTGACTAACTTTCCACACTTCTTCTGTGGGATGGAGGTCTATCAAGGGCCATGTCTGTGCTGTTTCTCGTCACGTTCCTGCCCTGACTGCCCTTCCACATCCCTGCTCTCTAATGGCTAAACAGCCTCTACTTCAGTCTCTTCCTCTGCCTGCTTCTCCTGCTTCTGTCCATCCCTAGCCCTCTTCTCTCCCCTGCTGGCCCCACGCTGGGCCATTGGCATGGATCTCCTCTTTGTGGCTGTCAGCCCGTTTCCTCTTTCAGTCTCCTCGCCTCTGGCAGGGCTTAGACTAGACAGCTTCATCAGCGTATCAGGCATTCTCACCATATTTGAAGGCTTCCTGAAATCCTAACCCCTTCATGAACCAGAACATCTGGCGTGGAGCAGCATTCATTCTTGCCTGAAGGAAACTGATTCCCTCCACACTTGAAGTACAGCAGTGATGTCTGCTCTACCAGGCTCCGAAATAGTGCCAGACTCACTGAAAGACCATGATGACTCTCCTTCTACTTGTTTTTTTCTAGAATGTTTGAACCTACAGCAATCTAAGAACCAACTATAGAATTCCTCTTTAAGAAGTATCACTTTATAAACAAACTTTAATAAACATGATGATTTTAAAACATGTTCCTGGGGCCAACTGATGGTATAATGGTTACGTCACTGGACTCGTACAGAGTTGACTGCAGTTTGAGTCCCGGGCCCAGTGACTTAAAACTCACACTGGGTGCGTGTGCATGTGTGCCCAAAATCCCAAGAGAAGAATGGTGGAGAAAAGATTGCAGCATGGCCATCCCCCTGGGGGCTTATTTCTCACACTCTGTCTCTCTATCTCTGGTGAGCGCACACGCCCACTAGCAAAAATTTCTTTCTTAAAAAAAAAAAAAATCCCAAATTCTTTGGCCCTCTTCCCATTGAGATATGGGGCTGAAGTTTCTGTCCACTGAAGCTGGGTTTTGTGATTGCTCGTCAAACAGAGATGGTGAAAGATGGCACCAGTTTCTGAGACAGGCCTTAGTAATCTGGCAGGATCTGCCTCCTGACTCGTAGGATAATCGCTGTCAGAATTCAGCCACCAAGTTTTGAGGGAGCCTAAGTAGCAAGAGGCCCAGTAGCTAGAGCCCATCTGACAGCTAGCATCAACTTGTCAGTCATGCGAGTAGTCACCCTGGCACTGGATTCTCCAGTTCCTGGTCTGCTGCTACGCGAGGCACAGCCAAACCTTCCAGGCTGAGTCCTACACAGAGTGCAGATTTCTGACTTAAACAAATGGTTCTTGTTATTGTTGTTTTTAGTTTTTGCTATTGAGTGTGTCCGCTTGCCAGAGAGAGAGAGAGACAGAAAGTGAGACATCACCCCAGCGGGTTGGCCACACCCTAATCCCTTCTCCAGACTTCTCTCAGGATTTTGGACACACATGCATGTTCACAACCTGAGTGTTCAAGCCACCGGGTCTAGGACTCGAACTGCAGAGTTAGCCATGTAGGATCCAGTGCCTTAACCTCTATGCCACCTACTGGGCCAATTCTCTCTCTCTCTCTTTTACATTATTAATTAATTAATTAATTATTATTTAGTTTGCTAGTGTACTTACCAGAGAGAGACAGAGAAAGAGAGAGAGGGAAAGTGAGAAAGCAAGCCTCCTAGGTTCAAGACTCGAACTGCAGTCAGCCATGTGGGCGTCCAGGGCCTCAACCACCACATCACCTACGGACCCCAATCCTTATTGTTTTTAAGCCACTAAGTTTTGGCATAGATTGTTTCTCAGCACTGTCTGCATAACTAGAACAAGGGGCTTGCTTGGTTATTAAGGTATGGACATGGTGCAGTGGATCTGTGATGTGGGCTTCATTAGGTTACATTGCCCTGTACAAGACATGACAGGAAAATAGATGAAGTCAGCGAACTAGAGAGCAGAAGTGGAGAATGAAAACTAGAAGAGGGTTCCAGCACAAACGACCTGACAACCAGTGACAAGTATCTTGTACCAGAGAGAGCATGCGGCCATGGAAAGACAGGAGAGCCCATGGGTCAGGCATGAGGCATTTGCAGAAGCAGCTACCAGACACGTGATGGGCCACCTGCTAATCTCCATCCCATCCACTCTAAACCTTTAGCAAAATCCTGCCACACATACAGTCCCTGAGCCTGGGACAGCGAGGATTGGGTGTGCTGTGGTCAAGGCTAGTGGGCCAATACAATGTGGAGGAAATAATGGTGCACACTTGAGGCAAAGTGAAGAACGTAGCCAGAGAAGGTCACTGGAAACAAGAGCTAGAAGCCGGAGGTGACTCAAGAAAATATAAGGTCTGGGGGGTCAGCAGGTGTCATTGGGGTTACAGTGCTGGGCTCCCATGTGATCAGCCGTGGTTAAAGTACCAGACCTGGAGACTTGAAACACATGCCAGGTGTGTGTGTGTACATGCTCAAAATCCCAAGAGAATGTTGTTGAAGGGATTGTGGCATGGCCATCCCTCCTGGGGAATGACTTCTTGCTTTTTGTCTCCCTGTATCTCTCCAGTGAGTGCACGTGCCTTCTAGCAAAAATCTCTAAACACACACACACACACACACACACACACACACACGACCTGAAACGACCCTCAATTTTCTTCCTTTTTTAAAGGATTATTTTATTTTATTTATTATTATTTTTAAAAATTTTTCTATAGGGTACATGTACTCACCGAGAAAGAGAGAGAGAGAGAGAGAGAGCGCCTTTAGGTCTAGGACTCGAACCATTATTAGTTATGTGGGAGTCCAGTGGCTTAACCACCATACCACCTGCTGGCCCCTGCCCTCAGTTTTCTTTCTTGCTGTATATCCCCAATCCCTGGACACACGTGAGAAGTTCTGAATGTCGTCCTTTGCTGAAGATGGGTTCAAGTGTTTGAGAAATGCTTGCTTGTTTCTGAACACTTGCTTAGAAACAGCTAGGGGTTGTTTTAAGGGGCATGTCACAGCAAGGAGCCTCACGGTTCAGTGGGTCTCCAAACTGTGTATATCTAGTTTTAATAAAGACAACCACAATCACTTTCCTGGGCCTGGGTGTGGGCCCTCAGGGACACTTGCTGTGGTTAAAAGAAAAACTTTAGACAAATCTAATTTTGCAGAGCTCAATTGAGCTAAAACAACTCATGAAGTGGGCTGCCCCGGGAACGGCTCCCGAGGAACTCCAAAGTGGCATGTGTTCAATCACCCTCAC